CCTAGCAAAGCTGCTGGTCGACTTCCAGCGCAGCACGGTCGACCGTGTGCCAACACGACTTGGTCGACCGCGCTCCAGCAAAACAAAGTCGCGGCTTGCCAACATTGCAAATCCACGGTGTGCCAACGCTGCAGCTAGTCGGCTGCACAACGTTGCACCCGCAGGACAATGAAGCACCTGCTTCGCAGGTCCGCGCAGCTGGTTGGTGCGCCATTCCTCGTCACGGGCACAGCGCAGACGCCTAGCAGACTCCTTGCCAGCAGCTGCGCCCACCAGCCACGTCGACCTCGGGATTGCCACTCTCGAGGTCGGCCTCGCAGAAACCACCTCGGCGACCTTCGCATGCTTCCGCAGAAGTCCGTCGCCCGGGTAACACGGTCGACCGAGCAACCAGATCGATGTTGTCAGGTCGGCGTCCTCCTTGGTCGGCATCCCCTCGTCGACCACTCCGAGACTAGGCCGCCGACTTGGTCAAGTCGTCGGCCATCCAAGGTCGGCGCCTTGAAGTCGGCGCCGTGTCATGTCAACCCCGCCAGGTCGACCACCCCACCCTCAGCACCCTCCGAAGTCGGCGACCCCGCAGTGGCCTCCGCGCAAGTCGACCAACCTCGTCGACCAGCTCGCCCACTGCTGCAGGTCAGCTGCACTCCCCCGTACACCCGACTACAAGGTCGACTCCGCCCAAGCGGTCACGGGACCTAACACAACTCCCGTTGACTGGAAGCTCCAGATTCTAGGGTGAAGGAAAGTTGTGCAGTCTGTTAGGTCGCACCCGAGTCAGCGACAAAGGTTGGTGCTAGACTAGTGGTAGCTGCAGCTCCTACACAAAGACGCTCAAAGGCAGCTAGGCTGGAGACAACACATGCAGCAAGACCGGAAACACAGGTCTCTACTTGTGCAGCAGGGAAAGCTCCTAGACTAGGTAGGTGAGACTCAACTGGTGCAGCAGTGCACTGGCGAAGACGTGAGGTACAGTGCGATGTAATAGCATGAGGACCAAAACGCTCACGGTGGAGGTCGTCGAGGCGACGGTAGCAGTGGGACGTAGAGTGGTCAGGACTCTAGCAGGTAGTGCCAGCACTGGGGCCTGTTAGGGCCTGGTACCCGCAGGGGCCGATGTCTCGCCCATTGCTAGCTGAGCCACTGCTGAGGGCGCCACACTTTGGACCTACAGGTCCACACTGCCGAGAGTGCTGCTGCCGGCCATGCTACTGTAGAACCCTAGTACATGCCATTTGAGGAGCAGAAAACGGGTGGGTGCCTATAGGTGGGCCTAAGCTGCTGCTGGTGCTGCTGGCGGCAGCCTAAGCTGCCGCTGGTTCTACGGAGGGGCAGCCTAAGTTGCTACTGGTTCTGCTGGTGGCAGCCTATGTTGCTGTTGGTTTTAGAAGGGGCAGCCTAAGCTGCTGTAGGTTTTACTGGAGGAAGACTAAGCTGCTACTGGTTCTGCTGGTGGCAGGCTAATCTGTTGCTGGTTCTGCTGGTGGTAGCCTATTCTGCTGCTAGGTTTACAGCGGGCAGCTTAAGCTGCTGCTGGTTCTGCTGGTGCCGGTCTAAGCTGCTGCTGGTTCTGCTGGTGGCAACCTAAGCTGCTCCTGGTTCTGCTAGTGGCAGCGTATGTTGCTGCTGGTTTAACTAGGGGCAGCCTAAGCTGCTTCTAGTTCTGTTGTGTGCAGTTCTGTGCGGTTCGTACGGTTCTGTGCGGATCATTGCGGTTCTGTGTGGTTCTGTGCGGTACTGCGCGGTTCAATGCGGTTCTGTGCGGTTACGTACGGTTCTTTGCAGTACTGCATGGTTCAGTGTGGTTTCGCGCGGTTCTGTGCGGTTGGGCGGCTGGTTGCGGCTGGGGCGGCTGGTGTTGGTTGGGGCGGCTGGTTTTGGCTGGTTTTGGGGTGGCTGGCTGAGGCGGTTGGTTTTGGCTGGGGTGGCTTGCTGAGGCGGCTGGTTTGGCTGGATGTTTTGGCTGGGGCGGCTGACTGCAGGTGAGGCAGCGCGAACAGGAAGGATGGCGACTAGGGTTAAGGGAACGGGAATGGTTGGGGCGGTGGCTGACGGCTGGTTTCCCTGGGGCGGCTAACGGCTGGGACGGCGGGCTCGGTTTAAGGCAGCGCGAATGGGTGGGGCGGCGGGGGGACTGCGGGATAACACGGGTTGGGTGCAGGGCGGGTTGCACGTGGGTCGACGCGCGGGCTGCTACGCGTAGGTCCGAGCGTGCAGCTGCGCGTGCTGCTGTGCGGGCCGTCACGCGCGGCTGCTCATGCGGCTGCGTGCGGCTGTGTCGCGAGATAAGGTGAATGGAAAGCGAGTGTACATACTGTATATTTGTACAGTCCATTGAAGAAGTGAGTTCCGAGGAAGGGGGAGAGTGAGGCAAGGGTGATGGGCAGGTGCAGGATAAGGTAACACGTCGGCGGAAGGCAACATGAGGGGGAAAGGGGGTGTGATAGCTGGAAGGCGCTATTTGTTTCGTGTGCAAATGCATGTTTCGTTTCCTTGTAGGTTGGATGCCCGAGCCAGCTGGGGTTACAGCCACAAGCTGGAGGATCGGCAGGCGGATGGCTAAGTGCCGGTGGCAAGTGACGAGGGAGGATGGCTCTTCGTCTTGATGAGGAGGCCACCACCTCCAAGGGAGCCTTGAGAAGTAGCAATAGGGGGAGGAGCGTAGGCAGGATATAGGGGGTACGGGCAATTGACACTGCAGTGTTTGTATATTACATGCTAATCTCATGAAATTGCAACAATCTGTGTGCGGGTGAGATCTCAAGCCAATACGAGCAATTAGGTGAGGGTTTTGTGACGTGTAGGGATGTGATTAAGCTAGGAGTGCTTATCACATACAAACAATCTATGGAGCGTTAGTATGCGAACGGAAGGGTGAAGTTGGAAGTGACTTCTCGGGAGAACGAAACGCAGACATGCACCGGGGAACGGGTACGCGCAAGGACGCGGAACATGGGCCGGATTCGCCCGGGCATGCGGCAGGCGGGCAAGAGCGGCCGGGGCCGCCGGCAGAGGGGTCAGCGCCAACTGGGGCAGAGAAGAAAAATTCGCGATTGGAAGAGCAACCGATGCGAAGCGCAAGAGAGGAAGCGGAGCACGGCTCTTATCGGTGGAGTGCTTCATGGCAGGAAGAGGCGTCGGTACAACGCTGGAAGTATACCATGCTGCCTAAAATTAAAGTACCGGAACGATTCTCTGGCGACACGCGGCGGGGAGCCTCCATAAAGAATTACGTGATGCAACTCGAGAATCTACAAGCACGCTGTGAGCGAGATCACCTGGACCCTGAAGAGTTCTTTCGCGTTCTGGCGAACACGCTGACAGGGGAGGCGGGGGAGGGCGGGGGAGGGCGGGGGAGGGGCTAGGGAGGGCAGTAAGGCATACAGAGTGCCGAGGGACTGGACGGTGGCCCAGCAGGGCGGCAGCTTGCCCTCCAGCAACGGATTGCGATAGATGGAGCTGGTGGGGGGGCAGGAGAGGGGGCAGGCCGGCAGGCAAGCAGGCGGGCGGGGTGGCGGGCGGGTGGGCAGGAAAGGCAGACGGTGGATGAAGGGAAGGAAAAGACTCAGGCAGAGAGAGACAGGGAAGAGAGAAACACGAAATGGAGGGGAAAATTCGGAGTGGTGACGGCAGGAGGGCAGAGGCCAGGAGAGGCGTAGAGGGGGAGATGGAGAGGCAGGAGAAAGTGCAGAAAGGGTAAGTAGAGAAGCAGACAATGGACATTGGGGGTCAGGGGCTCAGGGGCCCCCGAATGAGGCAAGGGGATGAATAAGAGGAGGTATAGCGATGCTGAACAAGCGTGGCGACATGGTTACAGTTGGTGAGATGGTTACAGTTGGTGAGATGGTTACAGTTGGTGAGATGGTTACAGTTGGTGAGATGGTTACAGTTGGTGAGATGGTTACAGTTGGTGAGATCGTTACAGTTGGTGAGATGGTTACAGTTCGTGAGATGGTTACAGTTGCTTAAAAGATACGAATACGGTTCACAATGAGGTAGATTAGATGAAACGGTTACTGTTCAGTGAGGTTGGCTAGATGAAACGGTTACATTCAATGAGGTTGGCTTGATGAAACGGTTACAGTTCAATGAGGCAGGTTAGATGATACGAATACATTTCGGTTTGGTAGGTTAGATGAAGCGGTTACAGTTCAGTGAGTTGGCTAGATGAAACGTTTACAGTTTTATGAGTAGGTTAGATGATAGGAATACAGTTCAATGAGGTAGGTTAGATGAAACGGTTAAAGTTCAGTGAGGTTGGCTAAATGAAACGGTTACAATTCAATGAGGTTGGCTAGATGAAACGATTACAGTTCAATGAGGTTGGCTAGATGAAACGGTTACAATTCAATGAGGTTGGTGAGCTGACTCATCGAGGTGGGGAGGACCCCTGAAATATTGTTGCGACTCAAACGGCTGGCAGGGGGGGGAGGCGGGAGAGGCAGTGTGTGTGCAGGAATGGGTAAGAAAAGAGAGGGACGAGGGTGGGGAGGATCCCTGAGATATCGTTGCGACTCAAACGGCTGGTAAGGTGGGGGAGACAGTGCATGAGCAGGAACGGGTAAGAGAGCGGAACGAGGGTGGGGAGATGGGTGAAGAGAATTGAAGTATTTGGCATGAAACAGTGCACCGAATGGAGTAAGTGAAGTGGGCTATGAAACAAGAGGATGCGCGTAGCAAGCAGACTCACATTCACTGCAGACTCACAACAAGTACTGCACACACTCACAAGTACTGCATATTTTCCATGTTGCCCCATAAGTCAGGAATGGGGCCTGACAGACCCATGTCCTCCAGATGCCTGCATGGGGCGCAGACGAGAGGATGAGAGGGCGAGAGGGAGGGGGGATCGATGGGGAGAGGTGAGGAGGAGAGGAGGCGTGTGGGGGAGACATGAGGCATGGGAGCCGTGGGAAGCATGCGAGGCATGCGAGGCATGGGAGGCATGCGAGGCATGGGATGGGAGGCTTAAATGGCGGTTGAAAGAAGAAGATAAGGCTTCAGAAGAGCATGTGATGAGTGAATACAGGTGGGTGAGGAGGCGTACAGATGGGAGAGGAGGCGTACAGGTAGGTGAGGACGCGTACAGGTGGGTGAGGAGGCGCACAGGTGGGTGAGGAGGCGTACAGGTGGGTGAGGAGGCGTACAGGTGGGTGAGGAGGCGTACAGGTGGGTGAGGATGCGTACAGGTGGGTGAGGAGGCGTACAGGTGGGTGAGGATGCGTACAGGTGGGTGAGGAGGCGTACAGGTGGGTGAGGAGGCGTACAGGTGGGTGAGGAGGCGTATAGGTGGGTGAGGAGGCGTACAGGTGGGTGAGGAGGCGTACAGGTGGGTGAGGAGGCGTACAGGTGGGTGAGGAGGCGTACAGGTGGGTGAGGAGGCGTACAGGTGGGTGAGGAGGCGTACAGGTGGGTGAGGAGGCGTACAGGTGGGTGAGGAGGCGTACAGGTGGGTGAGGAGGCGTACAGGTGGGTGAGGAGGCGTACAGGTGGGTGAGGAGGCGTACAGGTGGGTGAGGAGGCGTACAGGTGGGTGAGGAGGCGTACAGGTGAGTGAGGAGGCGTACAGGTGGGTGAGGAGGCGTACAGGTGGGTGAGGAAGCGTACAGGTGGGTGAGGAGGCGCACAGGTGGGTGAGGAGGCGTACAGGTGGGTGAGGAGGCGTACAGGTGGGTGAGGAGGCGTACAGGTGGGTGAGGAGGCGTACAGGTGAGTGAGGAGGCGTACAGGTGGGTGAGGAAGCGTACAGGTGGGTGAGGAGGCGTACAGGTGCGTGAGAAGGGGTACAGGTGGGTGAGGAGGCGTACAGGTGGGTGAGGAGGCGTACAGGTGGGTGAGGAGGCGTACAGGTGGGTGAGGTTCTTGAGTTGCGAGTAGGACTCCGGCAGCGACCCTCCCATGGGGTTGGAGTAGAGCTTCCTGGGGGAGGCATGCGGTGGGAGTGGAGTAAATTAAATGAAGTAATGGAGGTGTGCATGGGTGAGAGTAGGAGGAGGGCAGGCAGGGCATGAGTGGCAGGGCACGAGTGGCAGGGCACGAGTGGCAGGGCACGAGTGGCAGGGCACGAGTGGCAGGGCACGAGTGGCAGGGCACGAGTGGCAGGGCACGAGTGACAGGGCATGCGTGGCACATGACATGACTGCCCAGAAAGGCACGGTATCGCGTTGGGGAGAGGGTCCAGGGATGGGCACAGCCTACTCGATCGAAAAACAATGGAAGTGAAAACCAGGGAAACAATGGCAGTCAAGCACACTTTGAGCTCTGCCCTCACAGCTGCTGCCCTCACAGCTGCTGCACTCACAGCTGCTGCACTCACAGCTGCTGCACTCACAGCTGCTGCACCCACAGCTGCTGCACTCACAGCTGCTGCACTCACAGCTGCTGCACTCACAGCTGCTGCACCCACAGCTGCTGCACTCACAGCTGCTGCACCCACAGCTGCTGCACTCACAGCTGCTGCACTCACAGCTGCTGCACTCACAGCTGCTGCACCCACAGCTGCTGCACTCACAGCTGCTGCACTCACAGCTGCTGCACTCACAGCTCCTGAAGCTTGGTCATGCGGCCAAAGTAGGTCGGCAGAGGGCCTTCGAAGGAGTTGTTTTGGGCAAATCTGGCCGTTGAGATATATGGGGGAACGGGGTGCGAAGAGGAAGAGAGTGGAAAGCGAGTATATATCTGCAGAAGAGGCGATGCAGTGTGGTGGATTCGGAAGTGGGATGGATGGACAAGCATGAATGCAGGGAGACCATGCAAGGCATGTGGCAGAGCAGAAGTAAGAAGCAGGAGGGGAAGAAATAAATCAGGAGCAAGACTCGAATGAAGAGCAACTTATACCAGGAGCAAGTTCTAACAATGGCTCTTTGACGGCAAGGGAAGGTTCTTCAGTAATACACACACGTGGGCATTTTCTTGACTTGACTCATGTATGCGGAATACGTGGCATGGCAGGTGGTGACTAAAGGAGTATGATGGTGTCTTGGGGCCAAAAAGGGGCAGACAAACAGTTTCTAGAAAGACTTACAACTGTTTGAGTGCTGTGAGAGCTGTCAGACTGGACGGAAGGGAACCAGAGAGTCTGTTGTTACCTAATCGGCTGTTGATTTGTGGTACACATGCATGCACGCATGCACACATGCACCCAAGCACACACACATGCACACACACACATACACACACACACACACACACACACACACATGCACATGCACACACGCACACACCCACACACCCATGCACACACGCACACACACACACACACACACACACACACACACACACACACACACGAAACATCCCCACCTCTCCAAACACGCGTAGACACATCCATGCATGAACGCAGAGACGAGAATATCAACATGCATGTGAAAAAATTCCCATCCCTCCTCGGCTGCTTCCTCCTCATACTCCTATACTCGTGATTCACTTTCCAGCACGTGGCTTCCTTTTCCTTCATTTTATGTGCGAAATCGTTGAAGAGGAGACGGCAAGATGGTGAAGGGAGTGAATGGTGGTGGCATGATTAGAGAAACCAAGGAGCACTGTGAGGCAGGCTGGTGGGAGAATAAACTCCTGAATCCTGTGAGCTGCTGAACATGTGCTCTGCTTTGAATAAACCACACCCTGTACTGTAGCAGGCAGGTGGTATATAAATCGCATCCTGTACTGTACGAGGCTGTGTAAGGGAATCTATATAGAAGCCAATGTAGATTCCCTTACACAGTTTCTTACAGTACAGGGTGTGGTTTAAATAAAGCAGAGCGCATGTTCACAAGCTCACAGGATTCAGGGGTGGGTAAAAGGCAAGAGCAGTCGTCGTAAATGCATACAGGAGTGTGATTTCGCAAGCAGGGATCACAGAAAGGGCAAGTGGGGATCACAGGAAGAGCAAGTGAGGCTCACAGGAAGGGCAAGGGAGGCTCACAGTGAGGGCTTGAGTGCGCAGCATTGTTGATCTTCGCTCTTATCTTTCATGACATTGTGATATTGCTTGTAGTACATGCGCCCGGATTTGTACGTACCCTGAATGTGACTATACTGAAAGTATCCCCGAAAGCAAACTGTTCGAGTTCGGGTCAAACACGTTAGTGTTCGATCTTGCCTCACAACTGTTCGACCTTGCCTCACAACTGTTCGACCTTGCCTCACAACTGTTCGACCTTGCCTCACAACTGTTCGACCTTGCCTCACAACTGTTCGACCTTGCCTCACAACTGTTCGACCTTGCCTCACAACTGTTCGACCTTGCCTCACAACTGTTCGACCTTGCCTCACAACTGTTCGACCTTGCCTCACAACTGTTCGACCTTGCCTCACAACTGTTCGACCTTGCCTCACAACTGTTCGACCTTGCCTCACAACTGTTCGACCTTGCCTCACAACTGTTCGACCCTATACTCGAACAGAGACACTACCATTTAGGAAAACTGTTCGAGTCGAACGTGTTCGGTTCGGTTCGACTTGACCAAGTGTTTGAAAACTGTTCGATTCAAGCGTGTTCGGTTCGCTCGTTGCCCATGTGAGCCGCTCACAGGGTTTGGAGGTTGGTGAGGCGGCTGAGAGAGTCAGGCAGAGGGCCTTGGAAGTTGTTCATGTCCAGCTCTCTGGCAGCGAGGAGCAGGGCGGAGCAGGGAGGAGGAGAATGAAGGGAGTGTGGAGAATGAAGGGAGCCTGAAGAACTAAGGAAATGTGGAGAATGTAGAGAGTGTGAAGGGAGTGTAGGAAACGAAGGGGGTGTGTGAAGATTGAAAGGAGTGTGGAGAATGAAGGAAATGTGGAGTGTGAAGGGAGTGAGGGAAATGAAGGGAGTGTGAGGATTAATGGGAGTGTGAAGATCAAAGGGAGTGTGGAGAATTAAGGGAGTGTGGAGAATGAAAGGGATGTGGAGAATGAAGTGAGTGTGGGGAATGAAGGGAGTGTGGAGAAAAAAAAGGGAGTGTGGAGAATGAAAGGAGTAAAGAATGAAAGGAGTGTGGAGAATGCAGGGAGTGACGGCATACAGGGAGACGAGGGCGGTGAGATTGCCGATGAAATCTGGTAGCACCATTGTAAGTTCGCACTGTGAGAGATCCCTGGCAGCACACGCAGCACATGCAGCACAAGTAGCACAAGCAGCACAGCAGCACAAGCAGCACAAGCAGCACAAGCAGCAAAAGCAACAAAGGCAGCACAAGCGGCACAAGCAACACAAGCAGCAAAATTGGCACAAGCGGCACAAGCAACACAAGGGGTACATGGTTATATGGTACGGTTGGTTGTGCTTACTCGCTCTGTATGTGCGCATGTGCGGCCAAGTGTGACTTTATTGTAGTGTGCGCGTGGGAGTAAAGTGCACTCTACTGCAGTGTAGTGCGCACGTGGGAGTCACATGCGCATCCGTGCTTGCGGGTGTTTCGAGGGCCAAGTGGGCCTCACAGGTGTTGGAGATTGGTGAGGCGGCTGAGGGACGCAGGCAGAGAGCCGTAAAACCGGTTGCTGTCCAGATAGCTGGGAGGAAAGGGGGGAAGGGGGGGGGGGGTGGAGTGGATGAGGGCGGAGGAGGGCGGAGGAGGGCGAGAGAGGGCGGAGGAGGGCGAGAGAGGGCAGAGTGAGGGAGCTTGGTGTTTCGAGGTGGCTCTGACGAGAATGGTGAGGGAATGGTGCATGGGCGGAGGGGACGGTGCATGGGCGGAGGGGACGGTGCATGGGTTGAGGGAACGGTGCATGGGTTGAGGGAACGGTGCATGGGCTGAGGGGACGGTGCATGGGTTGAGGGAACGGTGCATGGGTTGAGGGGACGGTGCATGGGCGGAGGGGAAAGCGGTACATGTGTAAGACAAGTGCAGGTGAGCAAGGGAGTATAAAGTGCGGAAATTGAGGGGGGTGTGGAGAAGGATGGGGGTGTCTAGAACGATGGGGTGCGGAGAGTGGGAGAGTGGGGAGCATAAAGGGAACGGCATGGAGGCAAGGGAGGGAGGAATGAGAGTCCCAGGGGGCGTGCGGTGTGGAGGCGTACAGAGCGGTGAGGGAGGTGAGATTGCCGATGACATCTGGCATCTCGCCCAGAATGTTGGCCTGCGACAGCCTCCTGGGAGCACAAGGGGTGGCAGCACAAGGGGTGGCAGCACAAGGGGTGGCAGCACAAGGGGTGGCAGCACAAGGGGTGGCAGCACAAGGGGTGGGAGCACAAGGGGTGGCAGCACGAGGGGTACAGTTCTGTGAATATGCTCACTCTCTGCGGTGTCGCATGAGAGTGAATGTCGTATGAAAGTGAGTGTCGCATGAAAGTGAGTGTCGCATGAAAGTGAGTGTCGCATGAAAGTGAGTGTCGCATGAAAGTGAGTGTCGCATGAAAGAGAGTGTCGCATGAAAGTGAGTGTCGCATGAAAGTGAGTGTCGCATGTGTGCATGCATGGGAAAGAGAGAGAGCGCATGTGTGGCCAGGCGCCTGCATGTGTGACTCTAATGAAGGTTGGAGATTATACAGGAGAGGAGAGGTTGGGGAGAGAGCCAATACAAACAGCTTGAGGCACAACGTGTCTTTGATGAGCATGCATAGCATGGCATGGCATGGCAGGGCAGGGCATGGCATGGCAGGGCGTGACAGGGCAGGGCAGGCAGGGCAGGGCAGGGCAGTGCGGGGCAGGGCAGGGCGGGGCAGGGCGGGGCAGGGCGGGGCAGGGCGGGTATAACACCTCGCTACCCACTCAGTCAAAACGAGGGTGTTATATGGTGCAGCGGAATAACCATTAACACAGCCCACAGGCGTTACACTCGTCCCCCCCTGGCGCCAACGTCCCCGTTGGCTCTCTACTTCAGGGAGTCGGCCCCCTCCTGCAGGGACCTAGAGTTCGCAGTGCTGCTAGCTGCGACTTCGCTGGTTGCTCAGGACAGCAGAGGATCGTTCCCTGGGTTCATGTCTAAGAACCACATTTCAATTCTCGCCACTGGCGGAAAATGTGGACCAGCAGGGATTTGAACCCTAGGCTCCGATCTCGCTACCCACTGGGTCAAATCGAAATGAGGAAGTTATTTGGCACAGCATAATGCCCATTAACACAGCCCACAGGCGTTACAGCAGGGCAGGGAGGGGCAGGGCGGGGCAGGGCGGGGCATGCACGCACAGGGAGACAACAGCCGTGTTGTTGCATGTGATGCGCGGGTCGTTGAGCGTGCACACGTCGCTCACGTTCGTCCACCGCGTGAAGTCACCCCCAATATGCCAGTACTGCACCAGGCCCGCTAGCGCTGCGTGGGGGGCGGAAGGGGGACGGGCGGGAGAGGAGGGGGGGTTTGACAGTGCCCATGCCTTGCGAGCTGCCAGCCCTGCACCAGGCGCGGGTGAGGGGCAGAAGGGGGACGGGAAAGAGCGGGAGGAGGGAGGGGGTGGGGGCGGAGGGGGGAGGGGGAGGGTGCGGAGAGGGGGGGGGAAGTGCGTGCATCAAAGGCAAGGGGATTGAAGGGCGGAAGAAATCGCAGGGCGGCACCCGGTGCTTGTCCAAGACACGCTGATACCCGACGTCCCCCATCCCAACAACGCAGTCCCTCCCTCCCATTCCCTCCCTCCCATTCCCTCCCTCCCATTCCCTCCCTCCCATTCCCTCCCTCCCATTCCCTCCCTCCCATTCCCTCCCTCCCATTCCCCCCTCCCATTCCCTCCCTCCCATTCCCTCCCTCCCATTCCCTACCTCCCATTCCCATCCCTCCCATTCCCTCCCTCCCATTCCCTCCCTCCCATTCCCATCCCTCCCATTCCCTCCCTCACCATTCCCTCCCTCCCATTCCCTCCCTCCCATTCCCTCCCTCCCATTCCCTCCCTCCCATTCCCTCCCTCCCATTCCCTCCCTCCCATTCCCTCCCTCCCATTCCCTCCCTCCCATTCCCATCCCTCCCATTCCCTCCCTCCCATTCCCACCCTCCCATTCCCTCCCTCCCATTCCCTCCCTCCCATTCCTCCCTCCCATTCCCTCCCTCCCATTCCCTCCCTCCCATTCCCTCCCTCCCATTCCCTCCCTCCCATTCCCTCCCTCCCATTCCCTCCCTCACCATTCCCTCCCTCCCATTCCCTCCCTCCCATTCCCTCCCTCCCATTCCCTCCCTCCCATTCCCTCCCTCCCATTCCCTCCCTCCCATTCCCATTCCCTCCCATTCCCTCCCTCCCAGTCCCTCCCTCCCATTCCCTCCCTCCCATTCCCTCCCTCCCATTCCCTCCCTCCCATTCCCTCCCTCCCATTCCCTCCCTCCCATTCCCTCCCTCCCATTCCCCCTCCCCATCCCTCCCATTCCCTCCCTCCCATTCCCCTCCCTCCCATTCCCTCCCTCTCCATTCCCTCCCTCCATTCCCACCCTCCCAATTCCCACCCTCCCATTCCCTCCCTCCCATTCCCTCCCTCCCATTCCTCCCTCCCATTCCCTCCCTCCCATTCCCTCCCTCCCATTCCCTCCCTCCCATTCCCTCCCTCCCATTCCCTCCCACTCCCTCCTATTCCCTGACTTGCCCACTGCCGCCCACTGCCGCCCAACTTCCGCCCAACTTCCGCCCACACCTTCGATGGTCGTTTACTGCCACGACAGCCAGGAAATGCAGCCAAACCATCACATTTTTCCCTACTCTCCCCCCTTACCCCCCATCCTCTCCTCCCTTTACCTTTACTCTCCCCCCCCCAACTCTCTCCTCTTTACCCCCCCTCCTCTCCCAGCAGTACCTTGAGTGTCGGGGGTGACTGGCGGTGGCGCCACTAATGCTACTGGCGGCGCCGCCGAGGGGGGCGCTCCCGGCGGCGCTGGGGAGCCGCGGCACTGAGGGCACAGCGGCAGCGCAAGAAGCGCGATGAGCGCAAGGCGCGCGAGGAGCTCGAGGCGCTCGCAGCGCGATTGGAGAGAAGGGGTGCTGCGGATGACGACGGGGAGGTGCTGCCGCGGCGCGCCCCGTGCAAGTCCCTCGACGCGTGCTGTCGGCCGCAGAGCGCAGGTTGCGCGGCGGCGCGTGCGCGCGTGATTTGGCGACGGTTCCCGCCGACATAGGTCACTGCCACGGTAAATCGCATTGCTGAATTCCATACGAACGAGGTACTAGCGCTAAACCGAGGGCAGGTGCCAGTGAGGTACTGTAGCACCCGCTCTCCTTACTACCACTTCCCGTGACTATATCGAATCTGAACCAGAGCTCGCCCTGCGGGTATATTACCAATAACGGCGATCTGACGTCCCGGATTGCATGCAAGTATATTACGAGAAACAACCCTAGTACTGCGTCGTGCCTCCTGGCACGAAGTGAAGGGTCCATAACGCGTTACAGATGCAGCCCAAGGTGCGCCATTGCTCGATGCTGCAATGCTGTGACGCGTCCGCTAACGCCTGTGGACTGCGCTGCGGTGAGTGTGACGGCTTCAGGCTTGATGCTCGGTCGGCTTGTTTTGTGCGACGCCAAGCGGTGATATGCGGTGCTACGCTGTGTAATGCGGCGCATTGCTGTGGAACCGTGCTGCGTACAATTATGGACGACCGTTTGACCCGGTTTGGTTCCCAGATCTAAGTGCCTAGGCTCTGCCGAAGCTACTGCTCTTAGGCTTACGAAAAGATAATTGGTTGTGGTTCGGAGCAGCTGCGGTTTCGGTTCGGGAGGTGGGTAAGGCAAACACGAAGCAGGTTTGGGTTCAAATAATGTTGGCGAGGGGCAGCGCTCGAGGTCAAGAAACTCGGCTCGAGATCCAACCTCGTAGTGAACTTTGGGTTTATTATTCTAAGTTTATTAAGAGGGTACAGTGAATCAGCCAAGTCTTTTTTAAATTTCAAGAGTTTACATTTGACACCCCTTTTCACCTATCCATTCAGTTTTTCTTTCTCTAGTTTTAGCTGAAATTTCTGTTGCACTGCTCGTACAAGTTGCCAAAGGCAACGTTTTCACAATCACCAGGTTCAATGGGTTGCAGCAGCACCTAGCAGTTCATGCGTCTAGCACCTAGCACCCTGCTGTGTCTTGATTGAGGCACCACCACAAACACGAGCAGCTTCCAGCACCATTCTCTCCTGTAGCATGACACGTCATCATGATACAAGCTTCGCTAAAGCCGGCTTCACTACAGGTTTGAGCAGCTCAGGGCGTTTGAAGCGGTACTCCTGTTTGATCGCCTCTGCTGCTTGCTGCACCCATGCATGCACAGACAAATCATAGTACAAGCTTCGCTAGTGTGGGCTCCACTACAGGTTTGAGCAGCTCAGGGCGTTTGAAGCGGTACTCCTGTTTGATCGCCTCTGCTGTTGCCTCCACCAGTCCTTCTGGTTCACCCTCCACCGCTGCTGCCCCCCTTGATGGCTTGCCTGCTGAGCGCAGCGCTGCTGATGCCTGCACAACACGCACCACAGATGGGAGAGCATGTAAGAAGTTGGCATGGGGTTGGAAACAAGGCCACCAGCCCCTCTGGTTCGCCCTCCACTGCTGCAGCCCCTCGTGATGGCTTGCCTGCTGAGCGCAGCGCTGCTGATGCCTGCACAACACGCACCACAGATGGGAGAGCATGTAAGAAGTTGGCATGGGGTTGGAAACACGGCCACCGGCCCCTCCCTCTGGTACGCCCTCCACCGCTGCTGCCCCCCTCGTGATGGTTTTCCCTCGTGACATGCACCACATTAGGAGAGAGCATGTAAGAAGTTGGCATGGGGTTGGAGACAAGGGCACCAGCCTCTGGCTCGCCCTCCACTACTGCTGCTACCCGTGATGGCTTGCCTGCTGAGCGCAGCGCTGCTGATGCCTGCAGCCATGCACACGTGCACAGCAACCCCTGCATGGTACCAGTAGCACTCAATTGCAAACAGCTAACATGCTGTGAATTGTAACACACTTTTCCTAATACAACAATCTGCGCTCACCATGCAAGTGCCATAGAGCGCCCTCAGGTTGGTCCCTCCGCTGTTCTCAAAAGACTTTAGAGTCAACTCAAAGTCACATCTTACAGTGCAAGTGCCATATAGCGATGGTTCGGCCCCCCATCTATTGAGTATAGAATCTGAGAGTAGTGCTCACCATGCAAGTGCCATAGAGCGCCCTCAGGTTGGCCCCTCCACTGTACTCAGTGGCAGCAGCATAGTGTGATATGGCCTGCCGGTAGTTCTCTGCTCCGCCTATCGAATAGAGAATCTGGGAAAACAAGGAACGAGGAGCGAGAAAAAGAGATTTCAGTGAAAGATGGACACCAGATCACAAAAGTCAGAAAAAAACAAAAGAACCATTTCCTCTCCCCTTCGCCCCTGAGGCTCTTCCTGCCTGAGTCATGGAGAGACGGTGGTGTGGTGAGAACAAGGGTCAAATGCACCTTCCACTTAACTTTCTTCCAAGCTTCCCCTCCCTCTCCCCGTCCCCCCTCCCCGTCTCCATCCCCCTGCCCCTCCTACACCCTTACCCTTCCCCCTCCCCCTCCCACTCCCCCTCCTCCCCCTCACCCCTCATTCATTTCCCCCTCACTCATTCCCCCCTCACTCATTCCACCCTAGGAACATGAGCAGGTGCATCAAAGAACAACACGGACTCAGCGTCATGAACACACTCACAAGGTCACTAGAAATAACACTGAATACCACTGTGCACCGCTTTGTGTCTCCCAGCAACTGGGGCATGAATGCGGTGCCACTATATCACTCAGTAGCACCCTGCACCACAAAGCAAACCTCTGCACCGCTCAGTACAACTCACTACCTTAGCATTTGTGACATGGTAGATGAGGTTGATAGGAGCTGACAGCACCACTCTGCACCACTCAGCATCACTCAATACCTCAGCATAAGTCACATGGTAGATGGGGTTAACAGGAGCTGACAGCACCACTCTGCACCACTCAGCACCACTCAATACCTCAGCATAAGTGACATGGTAGATGGGGTTGACAGGGGCCGACAGCAGCAGCTCCTCGTAGCAGAACGCTGCTTGCTTGAACCTGGGAGGTGCGGCAAGAAGAGATGCGTGGAAGAAGCGGGGCGGACAGGAGAAACATGAGTGGGGGAGAATGGGAGCAGGGTAAAGGATGGGTGAGTCTGCGAGGTGACAGCGGCAACTCCTCGTAGCAGAACGCTGCTTTCTTGAACCTGGGAGGTATATCGAGCAGAGAGTAGGGTACAAAGATGGATTTGAGCTGGCAGCAGCAGGTGCTCATGGTCACATGTTTCCTGCATGAGCCTGGAGGATGAAGGGAGCACATGGCAGAAGCGGGAAAGGTAAGCAAAGAAAAGGGCTCATCCAACACCCGTCCTCGACTCGCTCTAGTTTGCGAGAGTCTCCGTTGTTGTCACCCTCTTAATCGCCCCTACCTGTGCCGCACCTGTGCTGCACTTTACATTGCTTCATCTCTTTCTGGGAGTCAGAAGGAGGTGGAGGGCGTGAGAGAGCTGGGGTCCTGCTAGCTAGCTTCGGAGCGGACGCCATGGAAGGTAGGCACGCTGGGGTTCGCGCCAGTTAAAACTGGTTACGAGCTTGGCTTGTTCATGCATGCTGCCTATGTGGAAAAAACATGCCTCAATTCGTGTATCATCAACAGTCGGCTTCGTTCGTCTCATGTCTGGTTCGTGCTGGACCAATCCAATCAGCCTTGAGTAGCAGCCCTCAACCTTACCCACCTACTCTTCGGCATTCTTACCCCACCCCCCTCCTTACCTCGCCATTTATTGGAACGCCATCTGCTGCAGCCGACCTTCTGTCGGCGACGTTGCGGTGGCAAATCGATGCGGTGCCGCCGCCGCAGCACGAGAGAGATGTAGTCTACACGAGAGAGGGAACGCAAGTAGCGATGCGCGAGGTTTTTTCCAAAGGACGGAGGGCGTATTTTTCGAAATCAGGTGTGCGTAAACACAAACAATTGAGTGGGTGGAGAGGATGAGGGCTGTTGGGGAGATTAAATTAGGAGTCTATTGTGGCTCGAAACGGAGCCAGCGACCGGGTGCGAAGGTGAAAGTTAAAATTGGCGACTTGTATATAGGGGACTTTGATGAAGACGACGAGGCCGGAGTAGCCTCAGAGGTTGCCCATGCCGCCTTAGAGCGTGACTTGGCGGTGGCGCATTCTTTCATCACACCTGAGCAATATCGGTGTGCTGTTAGGCTGTATTGACAGCCTAACAACAATCTGTCAATACAGCCTAACAACACGTCGATATTGCTCAGGTGTGATGAAAGAATGCACCACCGCCAAGTCACGCTCTAAGGCGGCATGGGCAACCTCTGAGGCTACTCCGGCCTCGTCGTCTTCATCAAAGTCCCCTATATACAAGTCGCCAATTTTAACTTTCATCTTCGCGCACGGTAGCTGGCTCCGTTTCGAGCCACAATAGACTCCTGATTTAATCTCCCCAACAGCCCTCATCCCCTCCACCCACTCAATCGTTTTGTGTTTACGCACACCTGATTTCGAAAAATACGCCCTCCGTCCTTTGTAAAAAACCTCGCGCATCGCTACTTGCGTTCCCTCTCTCGTGTAGACTACATCTCTCTCGTGCTGCGGCGGTGGCACCGCATCGATTTGCCACCGCAACGTCGCCGACAAAAGGTCGGCTGCAGCAGATGGCGTTCCAATAAATGGCGAGGTAAGGAGGGGGGTGGGGTAAGAATGCCGAAGAGTAGGTGGGTAAGGTTGAGGGCTGCTACTCAAGGCTGATTGGATTGGTCTAGCACGAACCAGACATGAGACGAACGAAGCCGACTGTTGATGATACACGAATTGAGGCAGGTTTTTTTTTTTCCACATAGGCAGCATGCATGAACAAGCCAAGCTCGTAACCCGTTTTAACTGGCGCGAACCCCAGCGTGCCTACCTTCCATGGCGTTCGCTCCGAAGCTAGCTAGCAGGACCCCAGCTCTCATACGCCCTCCACCTCCTCCTGACTCCCAGAAATAAATGAAGCAATGTAAAGTGCAGCACAGGAGCGGCACAGGTATGGGCGACTAAGAGGGTGACAACAACGGAGACTCTCGCAAACTAGAGCGAGTCGCGGACGGGTGTTGGGTGGGAGCAAAGAAAAGCCGCTATTCGGAGTGGCAGAAGGGCGAAAAAGATTTGGAAGGCGGAAAACAGGAGCGCTTGTCGATGCACCATGGTCCTTGCTTGCTGCTCAACCACGGAGGAAGGAAAAGCGTGGAAGAGGCAAGGAGGAATGGAGGGATGGGAGGTGGAACGATGGTCAAGATCGAATCGAATAACTATGTGGATAAAGATGACAAGCAGACTCCTTTATATGCAATTCCCGAAGATGACTGGAACACAGCAATGTCACCTAGCCACTGCGACATGCATGCGTATGTGAAGGCAAGGGTTCATGCATATATATGTGAAGGCATGGCGACATGCATGCGCATGTGAAGGCATGGCGGCATGCATGTGTATGTGAAGGCATGGCGGCATGCATGTGTATGTGAAGGCATGGCGGCATGCATGTGTATGTGGAGGCATGGCGGCATGCATGTGTATGTGAAGGCATGGCGGCATGCATGTGTATGTGAAGGCATGGCGGCATGCATGTGTATGTGAAGGCATGGCAGCATGCATGTGTATGTGAAGGCATGGTGGCATGCATGTGTATGTGAAGGCATGGCTGCATGCATGTGTATGTGAAGGCATGGTGGCATGCATGTGTATGTGAAGGCATGGCTACATGCATGTGCACACTGACACAGCAATGGCATGAGCACATCCCAACGCACATGTGCAGCGAGATGTAGAGGTCCCCTAGCTCCTTCCATGCCTCATAATCCGCCATGTAACTAGAGGGATGGAGGGAGAATGCGGAGGGGAGAAAAGGTGGAGGAGGAGAGAAGGGAGGGTAGGATACATGTGCCATGAGAGCAACACATAGCTCCTTTCATGCCTCATAGTCTGCCATGTAACTGGAGGAAGAAGAGGGGAGGGGAGGGCGAAGCGGGCCAGGGGGATAGAGAGGGACAGGCTTATTATTTGAGTTGCAGGAGTGAGCACGCACGGTATAGGTCCCTTAGCTCCTTCCACGCCTCATAGTCCACCATGTAGCTCGAGGGATGGGAGAGGAGGGGAGGGAGAGAAGGATGGGAGAGCAAGGAGGAGGGGAGCGAGGAGGAGGGGGATGGGAAAGGGGAGGAGGAGGACAAAGGGTGGTAGAAACCCTTTATAACAGCTGTTGTTAACACGTGTCACTGCACTCCCACACCACTGCACTCCCAAACCAATGCAGCACCCTACACCGCTGCACTCCTGCACCGCTGCACCCCACACCGCTGCACCCCACACCGCTGCACCCCACACTGCTGCACCCCACACCGCTGCACCCCACACCGCTGCACCCCACACCGCTGCACCCCACACCGCTGCACCCCACACCGCTGCACCCCACACCGCTGCACCCCACACCGCTGCACCCCACACCGCTGCACCCCACACCGCTGCACCCCACACCGCTGCACTCACGCACCGCTGCACCCCGCCAGCCTCACATCTCGAGGCGCTGCTTGTGTGCAGCGATGGCTCCCACCGTGTTTCCCTTGCCCTTTCAGCACCGGCTGGCAGCAGGACATGCAGCAGTGGGCACTTCTCTGCACTCTCTCCGACACCACTGCATTCCCACCCCACTGCACTCCACCACGCCGTACCCCTACACTCACGTTTCGAGATACTTCTTGAGAGCGCTGATGGCCCCCACCGTGTTGCCCTTGCCTTTCAGCACAGCAACTTGACGCTTCAACACTTGCTGGCAGCGTGGAGATATGCACGAGAGAGGAGCAGCAAGAAAAAGGGAGAGAGACGACAGAAAAGGTGTTTGGTTGGATGGCTGCTGCTGAAGTGATGTCCTTGCTCTTGAGCACTGCCATGTGGCATTCCAACACTGGATGAGGGGGGATGAAGGAAGAGCAGAAAGAGCAGGCGGAAAGAGAATATCAAACAATCACTTCCTTCACTACAGAAGAGAGCAGGCACACGCTCACCCACCTGGTCCTGAGAGTTGCTCTCCAGCAAGTCAGAGTAGACCTTGTCCGCCTGATCGCACCACCCCTTCTTCAGTCTTGACCGTGCAACAAGAGAGGAAAGGTAAATAAGCACACTCAATTGATCTGTGGCCAGGCACACGCACCTGGTCCTGCGGGTTGCTCTCCAGCAGGTCACTGTACACCTTGTCCGCCTGATCCCACCACCCCTTCGCCTCCAGCCACATGCCCTCCAACCACCCTGCACCGCACACGATACAGGGGGGGAAAGACAGGAGTGAGGAGAGGAGAGGAGAGGAGAGGAGAGGAGAGGAGAGGAGAGGAGAGGAGAGGAGAGGAAAGGAGAGGAGAAGAGAGGAGAGGAAAGGAGAGGAGAGGAGAGGAGAGGAGAGGAGAGGAGAGGAGAGGAGAGGAGAGGAGAGGAGAGAAAACGAGAGGAGAGGAGAGGAGAGGAGAGGAGAGGAGAGGAGAGGAGAGGAGAGGAGAGGAGAGGAGAGGAGAGGAGAGCACCAGGTGCAAGGTCAGTGAGTCATGCCATAAGTAACAAAGGCCAAACGGTGATGGCCGAGTGGTGCAAGGTAGTGAAATGTAGTGCAAGCGGTGCAAAATGCCTTCGGCGTGGTTGAACGGAGTGGGTTGGGTGCAGCAGAGCGCGGTGAAGTGCGGTGGTGAGCGGTGCAGTGACTCACCCACGCGAGTGCTATTGGGGAATGCGATCATGAGAGCTCCTATGCACTCCTGCCATATCATCCACACAATGCAAAGAATGCAAGTAGGTGTTAGGAGCGGTGCAATGGGGTTTGCATGGTAAAATGCGATCATGAGAGCTCCTATGCACTCCTGCCATGCACAGCACCCAGAGGGCATGTACAGCTGCGGTTATGAGCAGGGCAATGCGGTTTGCATGACAGCATGCAGACTTCGTAGTCCCAATGCTACGCGCAGCTGGTGGCATTGCTGGCATGGCAGCGCCGCAGCACATTACCAGCGCCCCTCCCCATGCCCCCCTCCCCATGCCCCCCTCCCCATGCCCCCCTCTCATTCCTCCCCCTCCACTCCCCTCCACTCCCCTCCACTCCCCTCCACTCCCCTCCACTCCCCTCCACTCCCCTCCACTCCCCTCCACTCCCCTCCACTCCCCTCCACTCCCCTCCACTCCCCTCCACTCCCCTCCACTCCCCTCCACTCCCCTCCACTCCCCTCCACTCCCCTCCACTCCCCTCCACTCCCCTCCACTCCCCTCCACTCCCCTCCACTCCCCTCCCTCCCCTCCCCTCCCCTCCCCTCCCCTCCCCTCCCCTCCCCTCCCCTCCCCTCCCTCCCCTCCACTCCCCTCCACTCCCCTCCACTCCCCTCCACTCCCCTCCACTCCCCTCCACTCCCCTCCACTCCCCTCCACTCCCCTCCACTCCCCTCCACTCCCCTCCACTCCCCTCCACTCCCCTCCACTCCCCTCCACTCCCCTCCACTCCCCTCCACTCCCCTCCACTCCCCTCCACTCCCCTCCACTCCCCTCCACTCCCCTCCACTCCCCTCCACTCCCCTCCACTCCCCTCCACTCCCCTCCACTCCCCTCCACTCCCCTCCACTCCCCTCCACTCCCCTCCACTCCCCTCCACTCCCCTCCACTCCCCTCCACTCCCCTCCACTCCCCTCCACTCCCCTCCACTCCCCTCCACTCCCTCCACTCCCCTCCCTCCCCTCCCCTCCCCTCCCCTCCCCTCCCCTCCACTCCCCTCCACTCCCCTCCACTCCCCTCCACTCCCCTCCACTCCCCTCCACTCCCCTCCACTCCCCTCCACTCCCCTCCACTCCCCTCCACTCCCCTCCACTCCCCTCCACTCCCCTCCACTCCCCTCCACTCCCCTCCCCTCCCTCCCCTCCCCTCCCCTCCCCTCCCCTCCCCTCCCCTCCACTCCCCTCCACTCCCCTCCACTCCCCTCCACTCCCCTCCACTCCCCTCCACTCCCCTCCACTCCCCTCCACTCCCCTCCACTCCCCTCCACTCCCCTCCACTCCCCTCCACTCCCCTCCACTCCCCTCCACTCCCCTCCACTCCCCTCCACTCCCCTCCCCTCCCCTCCACTCCCCTCCACTCCCCTCCCCTCCCCTCCACTCCCCTCCACTCCCCTCCACTCCCCTCCACTCTCCTCCACTCCCCTCCACTCCCCTCCCCTCCCCTCCCCTCCCCTCCCCTCCCCTCCCCTCCCCTCCCCTCCCCTCCCCTCCCCTCCACTCCCCTCCCCTCCCCTCCCCTCCCCTCCCCTCCCCTCCCCTCCCCTCCCCTCCCCTCCCCTCCTCCCCTCCCCTCCCCTCCCCTCCCCTCCCCTCCCCTCCCCTCCCCTCCCCTCCCCCCCACACCTTGGCGATGCCCAGCTGCTGGCAGTCCATGGCGCGGTCGCCACCTGCTCCTTGCAACACTCCCCTCCCCCATGGAATCCTTCTATGTGCCCCCCAAACTCGCACCCCCCTCCCCATGCCCCACCCTACCGTCCTCTCCCCCCATCCTCGCCTCACCTTGGCGATGCCCAGCTGCTGACAGTCCATGGCCGCGATTGCCACCTGCTCCATCACATCCCACACTGTCAACAGTGCAGTGCGGTGCAGCGCGGTGCCACACAGTGAAACACGGTGCAGGGCGGGACGAAGGGATGTAGCACAGTGGAATGTGGCATGGCGAAAGCATATGAAGGTCGGCACATACATCAGCACGCAGGACGAAAGGCAAGAGAAGGGGGGGAGAATGCAGAATGGCAGGAAATGAGGCGCAGCAGGGAAGGAAGGACACCATAATATGAGACCAATTCCACTTGTCTCTCTACTGCAAGTCCGAATTCTCTCTGTAGTAAGCATCCTCACCTTCGTCTCCCAGCTTCCCCCGCTCTTCCGCGGTGTTGATAAGCGCCATGTCATACTCCTTATAACCACCCTCTCATACCCCATAAAAGCCTCCTCATCTTCACCTCCCAGCTTTCTCCACTCATCCGTGCTGTTGCCATACTCCTTATAAGCACGGCCTTGTACCCCTTATGAGCCTCCTCACCTGCGTCTCCCAACCTGCTCCTCTCATCCGCGCTGTTAATCAGAGCCATGCCATACTCCGCCACTTGAAACCCCTCCCATACCCGTTATAAGCCTCCTCACCTTCGTCTCCCAGCTTGCTCCGCTCATCCGCACTGTTAATCAGAGCCATGCCAAACTCCGCCACTTGAAACGGCCGCCGCAGCCGCAGCCGCCGCACCTCCCGCAGGTACTTGGCGCATGTCTGAGGGAGGGGGGGGGGGGGGAGGGGGGAAGAGGGGGTGGAGGAAGAATGGGAACGGACAAGGAGGGAGGACTAGGCCTAAGCTCAGAAGGGGAGGCCACTGCACATCCCGCATATACTTGGCGCATGTCCAGGGGGAAAGAGAGGGGCGGGGGACAGGGGGCAGGGGTTGGGGTGAGGGCGTGAGGATGCGCGGGAGAGAGGCGAGGATGGGGGGGACACACAACAACAGCTGCTGCGCCTCACGCAGGTACTTGGCGCACGTCTGGGGGGTGAGGGTGGGCGGGGGGGTAGGGGAGGGGGCAACGAGGGACGGCTTGGCCTAAACACACAGCCGCCACACCTCACACAGGTACTTACCGCCCGTCTGGGGAGGGGGCTGTGGGGGTTGCGTAGAGGGGGTGGGGATGTGCGGGAGAGAGGCGAGGGTGGGGGAGAAGGAGAGGGGAAGGTGGGGGGGGAGAAGGAGAGGGGAGGAGGGGGGAGAGAAGGAGAGGGGAGGAGGGGGGAGAGAAGGAGAGGGGAGGAGGGGGGAGAGAAGGAGAGGGGAGGAGGGGGGAGAGAAGGAGAGGGGAGGAGGGGGGAGAGAAGGAGAGGGGAGGAGGGGGGAGAGAAGGAGAGGGGAGGAGGGGGGAGAGAAGGAGAGGGGAGGAGGGGGGAGAGAAGGAGAGGGGAGGAGGGGGGAGAGAAGGAGAGGGGAGGAGGGGGGAGAGAAGGAGAGGGGAGGAGGGGGGAGAGAAGGAGAGGGGAGGAGGGGGGAGAGAAGGAGAGGGGAGGAGGGGGGAGAGAAGGAGAGGGGAGGAGGGGGGAGAGAAGGAGAGGAACAAAGGAGGGCGGGCGAGGCCTTAGCACACGACCGCCGCACCTCACGCAGGTACTTGGCGCACGTCTGGGAGGTGAGGGGGGGGGATGTGCGGGTGGGGGGAGGGGGTGGCGGAGCGAGCGGATGTGGAAGGGGGAAGGGGGGTCTAGGGGGCCAAAAAAGGATGAGCAACAGATAGGCGGCGGAGGGGGCTCAAGCACGCAGCCGCCGCACCTCGCGCGGGTGCTAGGCGCATGTGGGAGGGACAGGAAGAATTTGCGGGGAGAGGGGAATTCGCGGATCCGCCGATACTTGCTCGGTCGACAGCGCGCCGAGAGGACAGTCATTCCGCACGGATTTCGCTAACAAGTTACGCGAGCGATCGAAATGAGAACACCTCGAGATTTTCGCCGCAGCGACGAGCACGCCGGGGGAGGATCCAGGGGATTCACGGCGAGCGTACCTCGGGACCTCCGCCGCGTTTACCGGCGATCGGCTTTAATTGCCTTTCTAGAGACTCCAATTCCTTCAGCTCCTGAGCGGAGATCATGGTGGTTGCGAGGAGTGGTAATCGGTTTAAATGTGTGGCGAGGAGTGATCTCGTCGCGCTTCAAGGGAAGTGAATCTGGGAAGTGGAGCGACGGGTAGAGTAGTCCCTAGGAGAAACAAGTTGTGATCCGTACTCCACAAGAACGAGTGTTTCATGGAACGCCGCAATGCAAACATCCTTTGAGTGATTCGAAGCAAGGCGAAAACTTTTGCAGCTTCGGGTGGACCGTATTCGCGGGGTGCTTGACGGAGCTCGCACCGTGGCGAAAACGGAGCTCCGAACATTGATGTTCGTCCACTTTTCAGCGCGTTCATAAGGACAGCAGTTACCACTGGGGAACAATTACTGGTTTTATTCGTTACAAGTTTCACCCCCAGTTCGAAAAGTGCATGTTTCTTTCACTCAGAGGTGCCACATCTCCGTCCCATTCCTGTAACCCTTGCAGACTACACAAGTGTTTCGAACGCAGTGCTGTGACTTTTGAAACCCCCGGTTGGCCAAGTAGTCTCTAGGGCACGCGGTGTGACAAATTCCGTGTTCGCCTCCACGCGACACACGGGCAAGGTTCTGATCCGTTACAAGCTGCTGCGGTAATAGCCTACCACCTAGCTGCTTCGCGAGGAGCGTCCGGTAGCGTGCGAGGATTAATCGACGTTATTGGATAACGAGCTGGGTCTCAATTAGTCAACCAAGTGGTCAGCTCAATCGCGAGGTGACTCCTCTCTCCGCACTCCGAAGCTTATGCTCTTACGGATTGTTCCGCGATGGCCCTCGTCACCGCGATGTGCTCCGCTGCGATCTCCCCTCGCCTCCCCTCGCCTCGTTTCCTCTCATCCCGATGACGACACGGATCACCCCTGTCGCGAATGATCGGCGCATTCGGGCCCATCCTGTATTCGTTCAACGCGTTCCTCCAACGCTCCCAACTTCGATCCCCCCTGGCCCCTCCGCCCCTCCCCCGCCTCAACCCACCGCCGCCCCTCCCCTCCCCCCTCCCCCTCCTCTCTCCCCCACACCTCCACCCGATCCAGCCAGCATGCGGGGCGTGGCACTGTCGGACGAATTCCATTAAAATAATCTTCGGAACGTATCCCAGATACCAACCCTATCTTAGAATCCAACCTTATTCCAGAAACCAACATTTGTCCCCGCCCCTTTCTGCTCTCGAACCAGTCAATACACAAGCATCACCGGCCTTCCGGAAAACCTAGTCATGTGTTTCAACATGCTGCCCCCAACTACCACCACCCGCGTCTCTCTCCCTGGATCCTGCCTTGCTACGTCACGTCCCTTCACTCCCGCCCCTCCAGGCAGCATGTAGGGCATATGTGGGGTCTTCTGAGTCGACTCACAGGTCACCTCTGGAGAGCACAGCTTGGGAGGAGCAGAAGAGCCGGACGAGGCTATCCCAAACTCCCTCCTCGCCCCTCCATGCGATGTGTCCAGCCAAATAGAAGCGCCGGCTGACAGTCTTCGGAAGGACATACACAGGCAGTTGTTTCTTTCTGGCGTGAATCCCTGCACTGCACCCACTTCCCTCCTCTTTTGAGACGTCTCAAAAGTCCCTGAACCCACTTCCCTCCCCTTTCCCCGCCCTTCCGTCACCTCTCCTTCCCCACTTCTCCTGCGCCCCTCCAGGCAGCATGAAGTGCATGCGTGGGGTGGGGGGGCTCGAGAAAAGCAGAGACCTCAACCCGGCGCCAGCTATCTCACATCACAGCTGCTCCACTCCACCACGCCCGTTTTCTCCCCTCCCCCTCCCCCTCCCCCTCCCCCTCGCTCTCGCCCTCGCCCCCGCCCCTCCAGCCAGCATGCAGCGCGTGGCGCCAGGAGAACCTTATGAGATTGTTTCGCATGCTTGCCCCCACCCCCTCGCCACCCCCTTCCCCGTTTCCCTCATCCCTTCCCTCGCCTCCCCCTCCCCTCCCCCCCCCCCCCCCCCCCCCCATTCCAGGCAGCATGCAGAGCGTGGAGAATCACCGGGAGAAGTAGATTTGATGAAATATCCCCACATGCCTTCCTCCCCCTTTCCCGTCTCCTGCTTCCAGTCGCCACAGGCCTCCCCTCCTTGCCCCCCTCCTTGCCCCCCTCCTTGCCCCCCTCCTTGTCCCCCTCCTTGCCCCCATCCTTGTCCCCCCCTCCAGGGAGGCCAGGCAGCATGCAGAGCGTGGACGAGCTCCGGGAGAACTTGAACACTTACAGGGAGCAGCTAGAGCAGGTGAGTGCTGTCCATTGGTGCGATCCATCCCATTCCATTGGGTAGGGGAGGGAGACTGTAGGGAAGAAACTATGGCCGCAGATGCGAGATCGCTGATCCGGTGCCCTTTTGGTCATGTGTTCGTGCGCCCTCTCTCCCTCTTTGCTGCTCCACGCGTCTCTCGATCAAAGCACCCAAGCTCTTTTGGTTTCTTGCTTGTTTGCGCCAAACCAGCTTCTCTCATTGGCCATTGCAATGCACTCAACTGCCCCCTATAACAGGTCTCAGAGTTGCTTATAGAGGATCCTGACAATGACGAGTACAAGGAGATGGCCAGTGGGCTCAAGGAGGTGAGTGCTGCGCTTCTCTTCTCTTCCCTTTCTTAACACCTGCTGCTCGCACGGCATTTCACGTGTCAATATTGACCTGTTCGCACTCTTTCATTCGCTGCAGTGCCACTGCCAGTCAGCCTCCGCTGCTGTCTCCTCGCTCTTCTCCCCTCACTCTCCGCTCTCGTTATTGTCTCCACTCGGCCTTCCACGCTCCTCTCCCCTCTCGCCCCTTCCCCCCTCCCCCTCTCCTCGTCCAGGACATTAAGCACACACGCCACACACACTCCTCGTTCCATCTCACTCCATCCCCCCCCTCCCTGGCAGGTCATGGGGGCCCACAAAGGACCTACCCAGTGCAGCGGAGCAGCAGACGCAAGGAGCCGCCACCACGCGACAACACACAATCCACTCTCCTTATTCCATGTCTCTCCTACCCGTCCACCCCCTTCCGGCAGGTCATCGAGCTCACAGAGGACCTGTTGAGTGCAGCAGAGCAGCAGACGCAGGAGGAGCTGCCACACACACTCTGCACACACCTCATTCGACCTCACTCAATCCTCCCTCTCTCTCCCCTCCTTTCCCCCCTTCCGGCAGGTCATTGAGCTCACAGAGGACCTGTTGAGTGCAGCGGAGCAGCAGACTCAGGAGGAGCTGCAACCAGATGCAGCAACAGGGGGTACGGCTGCTACGGTTGCCACTCCGTTTGTCCCCATGGCGTTTGTGCCCGCCACTTCTGCTGCTGTGAGTGTGAGTGTGAACATGCCTTCAGTTCAGTTCCATGTGCCCTGTCTCTGCTATCCTCACCCTCTTCCTCTTCATCTAATCCACACGAGAAAATATCATCTCAGTTTTTATTTTGTAACTCACCAGTCACCACGTGTGATTGCATGGATCACTCTTTCTTAGCGCAGTTTAAACAAATCATCAACATTCTCTCTGCAGCACCGCCCTTGAAAAGCCCCTCACCCGTCCTTTCTCACATAAATACGACCCACATCAGCATGCCCTCCCTCCCTCCCGCTTTTCTTACCCGTCCTTCCCTTTCCATTCATTACTTATCCAGACTTTTCGAAAATTATAAGCCTCGGAGCCTCCCCGAAGGGAGGCTCTTTTTGGGAGCCTTTTAGAACCTACCTGAAAAAGAGCCGTCTGTAAAGTTAATCCAGAACCCTTACCACCCCCACTCCCCCCCCCCCCCCCCTTCGTTCTATTCCCATCCCAAACGTGCGATTTCTAGACCACTGATCCAGCAGCTTTAGCAGCAGCCGCCGCAGCAGCAGCAACGTCGTCTCGGATTGCAGTGGGCACATCAGTACAGGCAGCGTGGGGGGTGACTGCCAGCACCCAGGCTGGCGGCATTCGCAGCTCCGAGTGGTGAGTGGGAACGAGGGAGGGCGATGGGGGGCTAGCAGCAGGGGGCGGGGCAGCGGCAGCAGGGGGGGCAGCAGCAGTGTCGTCTCGGATCGCAGTGGGCCCGTCGGTGCAGGCGGCATAAAGGGTGACAGCCGGCACTGCTGCTGGCGGCATACGCAGCTCTGAGTGGTGTGTGAAAGCGAGGGGGGGATGGAGGGCTAGCATCAGGGCGCGGGGCAGCAGCAGAGGGGCCAGCAGTGTCATCTCGGATTGCAGTGGGCACATCAGTGCAGGTGGCGTGGGGTGTGACTACCGGCACTGCTGCTGGCGGCATTCGTAGCTCCGAGTGGTGTGAGGGGTTAAATGCACGCAGCGTGGAGCCATGGTCCTCGCATGTGGCGAGAGGGGATGGTGGTGGGTGATGTGCATGGTGGGTGACATGCATGGTGGGTGACATGCATGGTGGGTGACATGCATGGTGGGTGACATGCATGGTGGGTGACATGCATTGTGGGTGACATGCATTGTGGGTGTGAGGGGTTAAATGCACCACGGTGGGGCCGTGGTTCTGGCACTGCTGCTGCGGCCGTAACAAGTGGTGAGTGGGGATGGTCTGAGAGGGGTTGGTCTGAGAGGGGTTGGTCTGAGAGGGGTTGGTCTGAGAGGGGTTGGTCTGAGAGGGGTTGGTCTGAGAGGGGTTGGTCTGAGAGGGGTTGGTCTGAGAGGGGTTGGTCTGAGAGGGGTTGGTCTGAGAGGGGTTGGTCTGAGAGAGGTTGGTCTGAGAGGGGTTGGTCTGAGAGAGGTTGGTCTGAGAGGGGTTGGTCTGAGAGAGGTTGGTCTGAGAGAGGTTGGTCTGAGAGAGGTTGGTCTGAGAGGGGGTCGTTTGAGAGGAGAGTAGAGTCGCATCGCAGCAGCTGAGAGTCACTTCGTTTCTCTCTACAGTGAGGAGCCCATTTCTCACCCTTTGCCTCCTACAGTGAGAAAGGGACTCCCCTCCCCAACTTACCATGTGTCTGTTGTGGAGGAGGGCTCGTGTAGCGTGTTTTATGAGGACCAAGTAGTGCAACAAGCTGAAGAAGAGTTTGCAGAGCAGGCAAACTCGTTGTTTGAGGCTTCAGAGGGCGATGCTCGGAAATCGATTCGGACCTGAACAGCATCTGCAACAGTGACGCTAACATGGTTGATTCTGAGACTTGCAACACAAGTAATGACTTGTCTGACAGCTGCTGCAGCGGTTAGAGCTCCAAGGAGGGGCCTACCACTTCCAGTGCTGCCGACAGCCTTTGCAACTGCGTCTACAAGTTCAACTGCTATTACAACAATTACGGAGCTGACTACAGCGAGACTGCAGCTCAGTGGTAGTCAGCTTCCGTGGTTGTTGTAATAGCAGTTGAGCTTGTAGACGCGGATGCAAAGGTTGTCGGCAGCACTGGAAGTGGTAGGTTCCTCCTTGAAGCTCTGGCCGTTGCAGCCGCTGTCAGACAAGCCACTGCTTGTGCTGCAAGTCTCAGAACCAACAATGTTAGCGTCACTGTTGCAGATGTTGCTCAGGTCCGAACCAATTTCCGAGCCATCGCCCTCTGAAGCCTTAAACAGCGGGTGCGCGTGCCTACTCTATGAACTCTTCTTCAACTTGTTGCACTTCTTGATTCTCATGAAGCACGCTACACTTGTCCTCTTCTTCAACAGCCTTTTTTCTGATAGTTATGGATCCAAGTGGCACAGCACAGCAAGTTGGAAAATACACGCAGATGAGTTTGTGTATTGAGTATAAACGCACCAAAATGCGTATGCTGCGTATTTTGTGTAGAAACGTTGTAATATGGACGGGCTGACCGGAAAAAAAAAAAAACATAAAGCTGGGTGTAAACTCGTGGCGTAGCGAACTCAAATATGGTCTTTGCGGATTCGCGATCTCAACTCCAAGTTCGAATTTTGAAGCTGATGCACAACAACCCCTTCTGTTTACAGCTGAACAACCCTCTCAATCCCATACATTCCTAATCCTTTCCAGCTCAATGTCCAGAGAAGGCGGCTTCCCTTGTTGAGAACGACGACCTCCTATCTAGCTATCGCCTAGCTCTTAATGTTGTTGACTAGCTCTTAGTGTCGCCTTGGTTCTCCATGTCGACTCAGTTCTTGATGTCGACCTAATTCTTTATCTCGACCTGAGTTGTAACGACGTGAGGTGGAAAGGGGGGTGCGGAATGGGGGTTGTTTGTGCTTTGCGCCGCACCCATCCCCACCTCGACATCTTTGCGCCGCACCCATCCCCACCTCAACATCTTTGCGCCTCTCCCATCCCCACCTCGACATCTTTGCGCCTCACCCATCCCCACCTCGACATCTTTGCGCCTCACCCATCCCCACCTCGACATCTTTGCGCCTCACCCATCCCCACCTCGACATCTTTGCGCCTCACCCATCCCCACCTCGACATCTTTGCGCCTCACCCATCCCCACCTCGACATCTTTGCTCCTCACCCATCCCCACCTCGACATCTTTGCGCCTCACCCATCCCCACCTCGACATCTTTGCGCCTCACCCATCCCCACCTCGACATCTTTGCGCCTTACCCCTCCCTGCGGGCAGATGCTCTTTACCCCTCCCTGCTGCTAATCCTTCCTCCTCTTCCTTCACTGCTCCTTCTGCTCCCTCCACTGCTCCCTCCACCTTTGACCAGGCGTGAGGGTGTGGTGGACAGTGTAACCAGGGGGGGCCATGTGTTGCGCTCTGTGCAGGGGGTCGCGTGGTGGCCACGGAAGGTCCTTCTGTGCCTGCAATGATCCTTCTGCCCCTGCACTGCTCTCTCCCTCTCTCCCCCCGAGCCAGGCTTGAGGGTGTGGTGGACAGCGTGACTACAGGGGGCTATGTGGTGCGCTCTGTGAAGGGAGGCAGATCCTTCTGCGCTCTGCCATGATCCTTCTGCTCCTTTCCCTGCTCCTCCCTCTCTTCACCCCCCCGCCAGGCTTGAGGGCGTGGTGGACAGCGTGACTACAGGGGGCTATGTGGTGCGCTCTGTGAAAGGGAGGCAGATCCTTCTGCGCTCTGCCACGATCCTTCTGCTCCTTGCCCTGCTCCTCCCTCTCTTCACCCCCCCGCCAGGCTTGAGGGCGTGGTGGACAGTGTGACTACAGGGGGCTATGTGGTGCGCGATGCAGGCGGGCAGATGCACGAGGTAAGGCACTCAAACTCCCCATGCTCTTTCCTCTACCTAGTACTTGTCTCGTCCACCAAAAGCCAGTGCACCTGGGTCTTGAACACCCTCTTCATGCACCTGGGTCTTGAACACCCTCTTCATGCACCTGGGTCTTGAACACCCTCTTCATGCACCTGGGTCTTGAACACCCTCTTCATGCACCTGGGTCTTGAACACCCTCTTCATGCACCTGGGTCTTCAACACCCTCTTCATGCACCTGGGTCTTGAACACCCTCTTCATGCACCTGGGTCTTGAACACCCTCTTCATGCACCTGGGTCTTGAACACCCTCTTCATGCACCTGGGTCTTGAACACCCTCTTCATGCACCTGGGTCTTGAACACCCTCTTCATGCACCTGGGTCTTGAACACCCTCTTCATGCACCTGGGTCTTGAACACCCTCTTCATGCACCTGGGTCTTGAACACCCTCTTCATGCACCTGGGTCTTGAACACCCTCTTCATGCACCTGGTTCTTGAACACCCTCTTCATGCACCTGGGTCTTGAACACCCTCTTCATGCACCTGGGTCTTGAACACCCTCTTCATGCACCTGGGTCTTGAACACCCTCTTCATGCACCTGGGTCTTGAACACCCTCTTCATGCACCTGGGTCTTGAACACCCTCTTCATGCACCGATTTGAAAGGTGCACAGTGTGACTACAGGGGGCTACGTGGATCGCGATGCAGGCGGGCAGATGCACGAGGTACTGTTTTCATTCTCCTCCACTCCACACACACTTCTGTGCTCACTCTTGCTCCCCTTTTGAGTCGACTCAAAAGTCACCTTGATGCAGGGGGGCAGATGCACGAGGTACTGTTTTCATTCGCCTCCACACACACTTCTGTTGCTCGCTCTTGCTCTCCCACTCTTGTACTCTCACTCCTCTTGCACTCCCCTCATACCCTCCTCTCAAACTTCTCTTTTCCCTCTTACACCTCTCGCTCGCGCCCAAGACATTATGCACGTCACATCTTGCTTTGTGCACTCGTGTGCAACGTGGGTTTCTTGGCTCTTTTTTCAACGTTTGAAAAGACGTAACTGCTGCAGCTATTTGGCTGACACATACACGCACGCCGCTTCACACACACACACCACTTTTGAGGCAGTGGCAGCCGTTGAGAGAAAGGCAGATGAGATGAGGAGAGCAATCTCACACCCAAATTCACCATCCCCGCACACAAACCCCCCCACCCTCACCACTCGCCTCACCCCACCACACACGCAAACCGCCTGCAGGTGCGGGAAACAAGAGTACGGCGGGTGGAGGAGAGTGAAGAAGACGCAAGGAAGCGAGCACAGGAGGCACTGGCAGCCGTGGAGCGAGAGGCAGATGAGACGAGGAGAGCACTCAAGCGGAAGATGGAGGAAGCTTCCAGGACGGAGCTGGTGAAGAAGGAGATTCCGCTCAAGCTGAGGATCAAACCAGAGGACTCGGAGGACGTGGTGAGTGCGGTGCAGAGGGGTGGAGAGGGATACAGAGGGTGTAGACGGGTGCAGAGTGATGCAGAGTCGTGAGGGTTAGGGCTGGTTAGGTCACATTGCTATAGCATTGCCACTCTTAATATCTTGAGCTGTCTGTTGGCTTTCCCTATCCTCCAGTGTATCCTCATGTGTTTCCGCCTTTTCCTCCCATCCTGGCCCTTGTCCTCTATCCGCGTCCTATGAAGTCAAGGGCCGTTGTCCCCATGCCCTTCTCCCCTTCCCTGCATCTCCTCTCTTCTTCTCCCCTTCCCTCCATCTCTTGTTTTCTCCCTAAAAAGCCAAGAACAAGAGGCAGATTCACTCGTTCCTGTCCCATGTTTACCCATGCCCCTTCTCCTGGTCACACTCTCCCTTCTCCCGGTCCTCTGCCCCCCCAGAAAGTGGAGAAGAAGCGGAAGATCCACGCGTTCAAGTCAAAGCAGCGGATGGAGATGCTGGAGGTGATGACCAACAAGAAGCAGAACACGTGGCAGCAGTTCCAAACCAAGGGCATCAAGAAGAAGGTCTGCACTGCACCCACCTCTCCCTAATTTTTCTCCATACTTGCTTCTCCTTTTGAGGTGCCTCAAAAGCACAACACGTGCAGACACCCCTCCCCATTCCCATGCACATGCCATGCATCCGCCAGCTCTATGCGTCTCTTTGCTATCTCTCTCTCTCTCTCTCTCTCTCTCTCTCTCTCTCTCTCTCTCTCTCTCTCTCTCTCTCTCTCTCTCTCTCTCTCCTGAGTCGTCTCTCCTTGTCAGGACACCAACTCGTTTACCTGCGCCACTTCGCAATTACAATCATGCAGCACACCCTTTCTCTTGTTTTGAGATGCCTCACTCTGTGAAGTGGCTTATATCTTGAGACGGTGCAATTCTTGCGACAGCTCAAGGTTCCCAGACAACTCTGACATCACAGACAACTCTGACATCACAGACAACTCTGACATCACAGACAACTCTGACATCACAGACAACTCTGACATCACAGCTCGCCTCAACGCTCTGGCATCACAGCTCGCCTCAACGCTCTGGCATCACAGCTCGCCTCAACGCTCTGGCATCACAGCTCGCCTCAACGCTCTGGCATCACAGCTCGCCTCAACGCTCTGGCATCACAGCTCGCCTCAACGCTCTGGCATCACAGCTCGCCTCAACGCTCTGGCATCACAGCTCGCCTCAACGCTCTGGCATCACAGCTCGCCTCAACGCTCTGGCATCACGTCTCGGCAACACGAACACGTCTCGGGCATCACAGCAGCTTGCTGTTGCCTCTGCCCTTGAAGGAGAACCCTCCTCGTTTTCCTCCCTCGCTCTTCACCTTTTCACATCTGACGCCCTAACAACATTCTTCAGAGTTGTCTGTCTGTCATCCCAGCGACTGCATCTTTTGGGGCGCATCAAAGGTCGCTTTCACCTTTCACATTCTTCAATATTCTGTTTCACCTCAGCAACTACACCTTTCTTGACTCCTGTCCTCCCATCCCCTCATCCCAGGCGGGCTTCCTGACAGGCCGCAAGAAGGAGAGCATTTTCAAGTCGCCAGAGGACGTGGGGGGCAAGGTGGGGGTGGTGGGAAGCGGGCAGGGTATGACAGATTTCCAGAAGAGAGACAAGAATCTCAACCTGCGTGCACAGGGCCAGGCAGAGGACGACTAAGGATACACTGTTTCTGAGGCGCCGCAAACATAAGGGTATGACAGACTTTCAGGAGAGAGACAAGACCTCAACCTGCGCGGACAGGGCCAGGCAGAGGACGACTAGTGCAGTGCTACACCCAAGCAGAGGTTTCTGATGTACACTGTACCTGTATTTTGAAGTTCAGATGTTCGCGATACAGAACTTATCCCACATACCGTATGAACTCAAATTAAAGTGTAGTAGGGTCGTCAGAATTCCACAACATCTCAAACATGCCTCTAACTGGTCATGTAAAATGCTATACCGGCAAAAAACATCGGGGTAATACCTCAGTACCGTATTCTCCCGGATAAAACACCCCCCCGTAATTGTACAGCCCCGGGTAGCTTGTGCGGGGTGGGTGTTATAATCAGGGCCTCAGATTCACTTTTAGGGACGTTGATGCATCAGGGTCCCTATTTCAAAAAGGCTGAAAATCAGTGTTCCTAAAAAAAAAAGCCTGAATTCTCAGGGTTTCCCAAGGAAGAAGCCTGATTTTTACTTACATGATTTTCTTAGAGTAAATGAAAATCCTTGAATCAATCACAAGACTCGATCCAAAGACCTTACCCTTCTACAGCGAAATCCACTAACAACTGGGCAGTTTAACCTGTCGTCATGTAATTTCTCTTACAATTTGTACTATATTTTTGAAGAAATTGTCCACAAGTGGTAATCTCGGGTGTTTACAGCTGGGATTCGGAATGTGCATTCAGTGTGCACTTCGATAAAAGGCTGAAGAATCAGTCCCCTTAGAGAAAAAAAGGCTGAAATATCAGTCTCTCTAAAATCTGAACATTGAGAAATCAGGGTAGGTACAAAAAAATACCCTGAAAATCAGGAATTTCAGGGTTTTTTTCCTGATATCTGAGGGCCTGGTTATAATCGACCTCGTTTGTTCTATACCCCCCCTTTTGGGGTGATTTTCTATAACACCCCCCTTTTCTTATAGATTCCTATTATAGCTGTTATCGAGTCTGATTCCTTACGGGAGAATATCGCGAGAATCGCTCCCTAGAAGAAATTTCGCATGTACTTTCACTTAGAATCTGCCGAGATTTCCCCCCTCCCACAATCTCGCTGTCGCCACACTGGCGAATCTTCCACTACAAGTGGTCCAAGAGGTGAAGTGGCCCAAGTGGCACACGATATCCTCGTACCGTAAAGTGCCACCTATAGGACCCGGGGGACTCTCTACAAATGCTTAAAAAATTGCTAGGGTGGACATTATGGCGGTTGCAAATTTTTAAGACCCGGGGTACACTTATTTATCATCTATCATTCCGTTTTTTAGGGTGTACAGCTTAATTTGGGGCGGGGGGTCTTATATTCGTAACGAAAAACAGCCTTCGTGCGCAGATTTCGCACGAGCGGCGCGTCAGATCTGTGTCAGAGTTCGAGTCTGACACAAACAAAGTGTCAGAATTCGAGTCTGACACAAAAGGCGTGTCAGAACTCGATTTTCTGTCAATAAAAGATGACTCACAATAGCAATAACAACTACTGTATACAGAAAAGGGGGGTCTTATGATGATTAGGGGCAAAAGGGGGGTCCTCACAAAACCTGCCACAATAAGAGTCCCCCTACCCATTCAAGAGTCCCGGGGGACCCTCTTACCGGCGGGTCCTATAGGCGGCACTTTACGGTACTCAGTTTTGCGGCATTGATCAACAATCTTGAAGTGAAGTCAGACCCCTGATTTTGTTTCACATCTTTTCTGCTTGATAAAAAAATATACCATATAATAAGACCTAGGTATTATGTAGGATTTTACTTTGAGGAGACCCCCCCATTTTTTTCCAGTGGTTTTCATAATACCCTAGGGTGTTTTATCCGGGAGAATACGGTATGTTGATCGAGGTACAGTCTCACAGAAGTTGGATCAAAACATATGGTACGGTGATGGAGGCTGTGGGAGAGAAATTGTAGGTACAAGCGAACCTTGATCCCATACCGTATGAGTATTTATACAGGATACGAATCAAAGATTGACTAAATGCCTACCATTGGATATCAGTTTGATAGTCAGCAATGCAATGACTGGTAAAAAGTCCACCTCTCACATAATGGACCCACCCACGACGGTAAATAAACACATATCAATACACCAACTCTAGCCGTAAAGGAACGAATAGTTAGCGTTACACTGTCTTCCTTTTATTCAGCGGGCACCAATTCAAACGAGAACTTCACTTTGTACTTGGGACACTGGAAAAGGCCACTTGAGGAAAAATAAGACTTGCCATACCTAGAGACTGTATCTATGCAAGCAACCATAGAGGGGGGAGAAAGAGGGGACAGGGAGGGACGGGGGTGAGGATGTTGCTGAATGCATGGGGGTCAATTGCGGGACTGTTTTGTTTTATAAAATTTCAAAACACTCTGCATGGGGGGCAATCGCCTAGGAGTAGTGGGGGCACAGGGGGCGATTGTCATACTAGGCTTAGCTTATATGCTCTCAAATGGTCAAGTTGTGTCAGTGTCACTGGTCAACAGTAACACAGTTGGCCAGGCCAGGAGACACAGTAGCGGTGGTTACACTAGGCTTGCTCGGATAGGAAAATGGCAGGCGAACTACCGTATCATGTGTTTTGGACAGTACTTTTGGGTTGTGGCAACACAGCAGTATGAATTGCATAACAAGGTGGCTTTTGAGTCGACTCAAAAGTCATGAATTGCATACCTGGGGTGGAATGAATGATTGAATCAACTCGTGACAAGTTGTGACAGCAACTTCACGGCTTACTAACGGTAGTATGTGTTTTGGCGTGTAATATCCAGAAACATGTGTCAGCACGACAATACGGTTTTGCATTCTTGGTGTCTCACAGTACAGTTAGGTTGAGACAGGTTAAGAAAGTACTAACGGTCGAGTCGACCCACCATAGCATGCAAGTAGACAGAGAGGAAAAACTTGGTCAAGTTTACTTGTTACTGCCGAACCTACTCAACATGCGCTGACCTATTTCAACTGCCCATACATACTGCTCAGACTTACTTGTACTATTGCCCGGATGTTCGTCTACTGCCCATGTGCTGCCCAGACTTACTTGTAGGTCTGCCCAGACTCACATGTACTGCACGCCAACAATAAGGGGTCGAAGGCGCGTTGCATGGCTGAAGTTGCAGGCATTGAATGCCGCCTTACTCATGATCCACAGGTCATGCCAGTACAGGTCCGTCCACTTGAACACTGCAAGGGGCATGATTGAACAGAGTGCATGAGGCCTGGGGAATTGGTGAGTGGGGAACAATCCACATTGAATGCCTTCTGGTCATCCATAATCCGCAAGTCATGCCATGGCAGGTCCACCCACTTGAACACTGCGAGAGCACACTTGTTAATGATGAACAGAGTGCATCAGGCATGGGCAGTGGTGAGCATAGAGCAATCCTCACTGGATGCATTCTTATCGTTCATGACCCAGAGGTCATGCCATGCCAGGCCCTCCCACTTGAACACTGCAGGACAGGTATTGGGAGAGGACACATGGTACGGGTGAGGGTGAGAGGCCAATGGTTCAAAGGTCATGCCATGCTAAACTTGTAGGCAAGCAGTGTAGGGATTGGGCACTGGAGAGAGTGTGGCTCCTGCACTATGTGGATTGGGGATTGGCAATTGCAGGGTCTGTGGAAGATTGTATATTACGACGGGAATGGTGCCTCAGGTATCATGAGGCACAGGAAGTATCATGAGGCACAGGAAGCATCATGAGCCACAGGAAGTATCATGAGCCATAGGAAGCATCATGAGCCACAGGAAGTATCATGAGCCTCAGGAAGCATCATGAGCCACAGGAAGTATCATGGCCAATAGGCCCACAGTGATGCTCCCACGAATAGGTGCCTGTGACGAAAAACTCCCGCCACAAAATGCAACTGGTGAGAAACAATATGTATGTGGGCGAACCTCGAACACTGTTTGGCGAACACTTTAAGCAAAAAAAAAAAAAAAAAAAACCTGTTCGGTTCGCCTCGAACGTTTTTTTGCTCAACCCTCCTGCATGCCTGTATGCGAGGTAAAGGGGATGGAGAGAGGAAGAGGGGGAGAGAACGGGAAAGGAGGAGAGAGGGGAAGAGGAAGAGAGAGAGGGAGAGGGGGAGAGAGAGGGAGAGGGGAAGAAAGAGGGAGGGAGAGAGAGGGAGAAGGGGAGAGAGAGGAGATGGGGAGAGAGATGGTCACGCACCTCTGATCCACAGCGCCGCTTGGTAAAGGGGAAGGAGAGAGAGAGAGAGAGAGAGAGAGAGAGAGAGAGAGAGAGAGAGAGAGAGAGAGAGAGAGAGAGGCACCTCGACGAATCTCTCCACCGAGGTTGCAGCACTACTCTCGCCATCCCGCCTCATCGCCTTCGCGAAACCAGGGGGGGGGGTACGCCCTATCGCGATAGGGGAATCCCTGCTTCGGCTGGCAGCAAAGGTGGCACTCTCGGAACTGCAAGGAGAAACAAGGTGATTTTTCTTACCCCAACAATTCGGCGTGGCAGTCCCAGGCGGAGCTGAGTTCGTTATACACGCAGTCAGAGACCTCACCACTTCACAACCTTCCAGCCTAGTCCTCCAACTCGACATTGAAAACGCTTTCAACTCCGTAGAGAGGAAAGCGTTCTTCAACGCACTCACCAACACCCCGTTAGCACCGCTCATACCTTTTAACCGCTCCTTCTACGCAACGCCTTCACAGCTGCTGACCGATCCCCGCTTGAGCACGACGGCACTCACCAACGGAAGGGGAGTCAGGCAGGGGGACCCCCTCGAACCCCTGCTGTTCGCGGCATCAATCCAGCAGCACCTTAGACGCATAGCAACAGAGCACCCTGAAGTCACGATCCTAGCATATGCAGATGACATCACCATGATCGGACCGGCGACAACAACGCTCGGCGCGCTAAGGGTGCTGACGCCGCTGCTCGCCCAGGATGGCCTCACCTGCAGCTACAAAAAGTCGTCAGCGTGGTCCACGACACCGCTTGAAGGTGAC